TCTCTCTCTCTCTCTCTCTCTCTCTCTCTCTCTCTCTCTCTCTCTCCATGACCACAAATTCACTTGTCAGCGTAAGACGACAAGAAATCATTATGCCGATAAGATTACAAAAAAGAAACAAAAAAAAGTAATCGTTACACAGACAAACGGGGAAATTTTTGAAAAATTGTTCACACGCTTCCCCCCCGTCCCCCCCGCATTCAGCCCCCAAACACACGACAGGGAGGAGAATTCTAGCACTTGCACATCTGCCTTTTTTTTTGAGGGGGGGGGGGCTTCTTTGACTGCTGAACAGCTTACCTGCTGCTTAGGGTTTTGAGATATATAAGGTGTTCCTCTGGGCTGTATTGCTCCTGTGGATGGCAGATTCGCACGCAACCGCTTCAGCAGTACCCCTTCAGGATCGATGCCCGGATTACCCGCGGCACACTCAGATTCCATGAATGTTGCAGTTTCACCTTGACCAGGTACAGCTGGTGGACCTGCAACAGTTGATGCACCTGGTGCAGCTGGTGGACCTGGTACAGAGGATGCATCCCCGACTGGTAACCCAGCCTCTGCCGCTGACACTATTCGCGAACACACCTGCTGGTACAGCGTGGCGATTATGCTGCAAAGGTGATCCCTGTAGCCTCGACAGTACGTCTTCACGGCTAGCGGCTGAGGAATTGCCGAGCCTACATACCAAAAAACAGCAATATCCCACTTGTCCAGACTCAATAAAAAGGCAAAGATTAAAACAAAAAAGAATATTTTAAAAAAAAATTGACACGAAAGAGAAAAAGAGAAAGAAAAAGAAAAAGGAAAAGACAAAGATGGAGCAAGAGAATTAAGAATCTTTTCTCTGAAATACCCAGCCATCCTACCGTCCTCCCCCGAAACACAAAGCACCCTCATTTTGACTGTATCGGACTGGAAAGTTAGCTTGTATACGTTCATTCTAAGGGTGCGTTATGTTCGGCGGAAGACGGAAGTCGGCGAAACCGTACAGACTCCACACATGCAACTGTTAGAAAGCAGATCGTGAGTTCAAATCCTGCTAGAATCAGATGGATAAACAACAAGGTAAGGTACCAACCCCTTCACCCGGGGAAAAATAAATAAATAAAAATAAAGGTAGCTCTGACATGCACAGAGGATGCGGGCAAAAACAGCTTCACAAGATCCTCCATTCAGTGCATCCGAGATGCCGCCATTACTATTTATAGCACTGGAATCAATGGATGCATCTTGCCACTTTCTGAGGAAGATGCACCGGTGCTTTTATTCGTTCTGATAGTGATGTGGCAAGGCCCTATGTTATGAATTCAACAGAGCAAGATTGGAGAAGCCAAGGGTGGGAACAACAGAGAGAGAGGGGCCCCCTCTCCCTTCCTCCCC